CTCCCCTTCATTGATCACTTGATAAGATCTGTCTTGTGATAAATTGTCAGTGGTTTTAGCCACTTAATCTGAAAGCTACGAGCAGTAAAATTTCAACGATGCAACCTCTTGACCACCTTAGAGCAAGAGTCACGAGTTTTCGATAATAGGAATGTTTTATAATTGCTTAAGTACTGAGATCAAATTGCTGATATCTTGATTACGCAACCTCTCAGCTATCTTCTATCGCTAAAATGATATTAATAACAGCAATAGAACAGCATTCTACATCAAGGCGTCTCATCATTGGTCTAAAAACTGCGTTTCACCACCATGTTTGCTTAAGTACATCTAAGACTCTCCCTCTAAAATTCCTCATTCCAGAATCTACCAGCTCGAATCAAGATGGTAAATCTGTTATGTGAGATCGCTAGAATTGTTTGTAATGCGTTCGAGGTTAACATCGTCGATACTACGTCATTCTCGGAGTTGAAGGAATAAAGTAAAGGCAAAGAATATAGACAGCCGTTTTAAGTATACAGCTCACAGCTTTCAACCTAGTAGTTAAGTCCACTTTAAGCTTATCTCGAGACAGATCTTATCAAGTGACCAATGAAGGCTGAGCCCTGACGCTGAGCAAGATCAATCATATAGATGAGCACTTTGTGAGATAGCTGTTGTCATAAAACTTCATAAAAACATTCCGCAATCGCAAACCAAATATTTTTATAATATTTTTGACGATTACTATGAATCATATTGATCCAGCTGTCAAAACTTACTTTTAAAGAAACTTGACCATCTAGTTACTATGTAGATGGTGCAGCGGGGCTGCCGTAGCAAAACGCTTGAGGAAGCGTACTTTAGGTCACCGACCTTGTGTTCTTTACAAGAACCAAGTATGAGTTAGCGGATCGCAATCCGCTTACTCCAAAAGTGATTTTTGCCTTTCAACGCTAATCGATTTCGGTTTAAATTTTAAACTGATTTCTATTTATATCCTTATCCGAGTGTTAAAAGTCTATATTTTCCCCAATATACTATATATATAGTAAAATATAAATACATGCATCACTACTGGCTACCTAGCCCCGAACCGTATTCTTGTTTGGGTGTGTGGTCACATCATGCACATCTCGTGTGACCCCTCCCTTGTTATTAGGGTTCGTGTCACCACTGACACGTTGCTCTTGAAGTTCACAACAACATTGTTTTGCGAGTATATTTCAATAGGTGACCATATCTTTGAAAATTAAAAAGTGAAAAAAAAATCCGAAATTAAGTACTAATGAAAGGTGTACATATAATTAAAAAAGTGCAAACCTTTCCTGAGCGCCTAAAAGTCTTATCTCAAATTTTGAAACCCGCAATTTTTTTCGAAGCTATTACCAAGTCCGATGTTTTATTCGACCATAAATTACACAAAAAGGATTGACTTCAACGTCAAAGGCAAGTCAGAGTTGGAAGAAGAAGATTAATCACCACATTGTCTAAATAACACCTGGCGAAAGCAGTCAGAAAACCTCAACGAGACGATCGTTTTTGCCGTAATGGCTGGAAAACCTACATTCGTGCTCAACAGAATGGCGGCTAGCTCCGCTTGCGTTTTCATACCATTCGAGTGAGCTCAGGGAAATGATTGATCCTATCGGATCCTAAGCTCTATTTTACTAACCTGAGTAATTTTGTCAGCATTAAAATCATAGTCGATTTTGACATAAAAAATAAGCAATGATTGGAGATCGTGGTATTATTAAGTTGTACATAACTTTACCACATACAAGCCGTTTTCCACGATTATTATATCTCCCGCAATGTAGCGCTTAAATATATTTTAGTAAGTGCGGTTTATCCATCCTTACAAACACGCCACCGTCAGCAGAACAGCAATGTCTTTTTTATTAGCAGTGACGACAAACGAACGACTGCCGAGCCATCTGCTCGTCAGTCGCTAATAGTCCTTACCTTGATTAGAGAGAACTCGCTCAGGTAACAACTATTAATTCTTTCACTTACAGATATAACTATTTGAACCGCTTAAATTGCAAGCTCCCTTTCACTTACAGATATAAATATTTGAACCGCTTAAATTGCAAGCTCCCAATCGGTATAATTCCATCTGTAGGTCTAGAAGCACACTCAACGCACGCCTTTTCCTGCAAGGACTCGAATGCCTTCGCTCAGCCCTCAGGTGACAGTAACACTTTAAGCGTCAACGCCGATTCCTTATACTAACGGATTCTCCCGATTAGAGTCCGGTCTTCTATTTATTAGTACCGGACTCAAGCCAAAAAAATCCGGATTTTTTTCAGAAAAACAGAATATTTTAGTGACAATGTGAAAATAGCGATTTTGGTTTTCGAATTGTTAAGAATGTTTTTTTGTATTTATTTTGATTACGTCACAAACTCAAAATAAATACAAAAAAACATTCTTAACAATTCTAGAGAAGATACCTCCGACACGGGTTCGCTACCGCGT